GGATAGACTCAAAGTCATATTTTGGTTCCCGTGGATTTGGTTTAGGAAAGTTAATTTCTTTCTGTGCTTCAATTTCCTAACCTGTAAAATGGGGATGATAATAGAGTCTGCTGCTGAAGTGGTATCCATTTCCTAAACAACATGCCTCTGGGAACTTTATGAACTTTGATAAATGCCAGTAATTATAGAAAGGCTTCAGGCATTTTATTCATAGGGTCACTATGAGTCGGCAATCAACAATATGAACAATAGAGTCTACCTTACAGTGTTGTTATACAGACCAAATGAGGTAATGTATTTCAGAACTCTCACATTGTCTTTGAGTCGGTTCTAATTTGTAGCTGACCTTTCAGTAAGTTTTCAAGGCTGCAAATGGAACAGGAGGAGGCTCTCCTTCTCTTGGAACAGCTGGCAGATTTGAACCAACAGAGAAGTACAACCTTTGGGTTAGTGGTGCATGCTCTATGGACTATGCCACAAGAGCGCCCTGCATTTTAGAAAGATGTGATGTAAATATGAGATCCTGTATAATACTTATATATAATGGCAACTCTGATGGCCTAGTGGCAGAAAGCTATACTGCAATCCCAACAGTGCATGGTTCAAATCCATCAGCTGCTCTGAGGGAGGATGGGCAATCTCCTCCTGGGTGAATTACTGTCTCTTAAAACACACTGAATTGTGTCATTTATGAATTGGTTCTGACTGTGGACAACAAGATATACAAATAGGGAGCTCTAGTGATGGCTAACAGGTGGCTTAGTGGTAAGGAGTTATGCTGCAAACTCAACACCGTACAGTTTGAACCCACCAACTTCTCCAAAGGAGAAAGATGGGCAATGTCCTGCTGTGTGATTTACAACCTCAGAAAATCCACTGGAGGGTCAGCTATGACTCAGTTCTAACTCCACAATATTCAACAACATAGGGCGCACACCAGGGATGTGTCCTGTCTCCATACCTTTTCAACCTGTATGCAGATCAGATTATCCGGGAGGCTGGGCTCTATGAGGAGAAATGTGGGGTCAAGATTGGTGGAAGATCTATCAACAATCTATGTTATGCAGATTACACAACCCTGCTTGCTGAAACTGAGGAAGACCTGAAGTGCTTGCTGCAGAGGGCCAAGGACTGCAGCCTTCAATATGGATTGAGGCTCAATGTCAAGAAGACAAAGATTCTCACCACTGGGCCAATTGACAGCATCAGGATGGATGGGAAAGAGATTGTGATTGTTCATAGCTTTAGTATGCTTAGTTTCAAAGTCAACACTCTTGTCACCAGTAGCCAGAAAATTAAAAGACACATTTGCCATAGGAAAGTCTGCTGTGAGGGACCTCTCCAAAGTACTGAAGAGCAATGGTGTCTCCCTGGAGACTAAGGTGCATCTGATACAGGTCATGATCTTTGCTATCAGGTGAATTGGAACCATCTACCTTTGAGTTGGCAGTACAACTCCTTACCCACTAAGCTCCCAGAATCCTCCCGTAAACCTATAGAACTCTATATGTATAAAATATATACTGTAGCTAGGAGTGTAATTCCTCCAGACTCTTGCAGTTTCATTCTAGCTAGAAGAACATGCAAAAATATTACAACATTCAAGTTAGAAATGGTGGCCAATAAATAGCTAATGACCTAGTTGGAGGGAAAATGAACAGGAGGAACAGATCCCAGGAAGGATGAGTGGCCAGGATAGAGGTATATTTGATATCATGCAGTTTCAAAGATGCCAGCCTGACCTTTTCACGAACTCTTCAAAGGGAATACGATGGGAATATCCCTGTTGGCGAATGCTGACTGTCTCCAGGATCCCTGTGGAGCGGAGCTGGGCTAGCACTCTCTCCTGGGAGAACTTCAGAGCTTCTCGGTCATCATTGGGCTTAATACAGCGCACAAAGTGAGGCTGTCCCACGACCATTTTGGAGAGCAGATCCATCAGAGAATACTACCAGGAGAAAAAACACCACCACCACGTATGTAGTTACATGAAATTACTGCTGCGAAATCTACCTACCAGTTGATTCTGACTCCTGTACCAGAGTAGAACTGTGCTGAGTAAGGCTTTCAGTGATTTATCAGAAGCAGATTCCAGGAAGAGTCTTTGGGTCTCAAACCTCAAGCCTTTCAGTTAGCAACTATGTACCTTAACTGTACCTAGGGACTCCTCCACAGTGCAATAGAACGTCCCAGGCCTATAGAGATATCTAGCATAGTTATAGGTTTGTGAATAATTCATGGTGCTCTGTGAGGTAAACAGAATAATTTCTAACCAGTATTTATAGCTATCTGAGGATTCAAATGTGTTCTTAATGTTTAATCACTATTGTTGTTTTTGTTAGGTGCCATCGAGTCTAGTGCTACTCTTAGCGACCGTATGAACAACTGATCTGAACCCTATCCTATCTTGTGCCATCCTCACAGTCTCTGACACATTCAAGCCCATTGCTGCAGCCACTGTGTGAATGCACCCGGTTGAAGGTCTTCCTCTCCTTGTCATCCCTTACCAAGCATGATGGTCCTCTCGTTGGCCAAGCAATATCCCATGTGGCAGAAATGTGTTTGAGAATATGCTCCAGTTTACTCCACAGCTCTGTCAACAGAACTAGAATACCCATCTCTGGTCTTCCAAGATGATATCTACAAGATATTTCTGAATTTAAAATGTCTATCTTATGGGCATCAATTGTTGTTTCTTTGGCTTAAGAATCATCAAAACCACTAAGCGTCATCAAGGAGACTAAGAAGTTCTTACTGATACTATATACCATCTATAAACAGTTGAGTGGAAAATACAAAAACAAAGAAATAGAGAATAAAGCAAAAACAAAAATTAAATGAATAAAGACATATTAATGAACATTAATGAAGCGTCAGGATTAAAGGAAGAATCAACACCAAGATGACACAGTCTTGCTTGTAGAAATTGAAGATGCCTTGAAGAAGATTTACTAAAGGAGATCAAAGACTACATTCTTCAATATGAATTACATTTCCACATTGAAAAAACAAAACTCTTCACCACTAGATCAAGAGGCAACATCACAAAAGATGGAGAAGATTGACATTTCAATGGTTTCATTTTACTTGTATGCACAATCAGCACCCATGGTAGTTAAAAACAGTCAAGAAATGAAAAGATATATTGCATTGGGCAAATATGCTGTCAAAGACATCTGTAAGGTGCAAAGGAGCAAGGGTGTCAGTTTGAGGACTAAGGTGCTAATCCAAGCATGACATTTTCAATTGCTTTGTATACATACGAAAGATGAACAACAAATAAAACCACAGATGAATAGATGTCTTTAAATTGTGTTGGTGAAGAGTGTTGATGATTCCATGGACTACCAAATGAATAAACCAATCTGTTTTGGAAGAAATACAACCAGATGCTCCTTAAAATGATGGTAAAACTTTTGTCTCACTTACATTTTGGACAAGTTGTCAGGAGGGGTAAGTCTTTGGAAAAAGATAGCACCTTGGGAAAGGAGGAGTGTTAGCAAAAGAGAGAGCTTCAATGAGACAGACAGAAACAATGGCTAAAACAGTGGGCTTTAAGCATGGTGGCTACAGTGAGCATGGAGTAGGATAGATATGGTTCAGATCTGTTGTTCAAAGGGTCACTATGAGTTGTAGTTGATTTGATGATACCTAACAACAATGAAGATCAACTAATCTATTCCAAGAGCTCAGTACAGGGAACACACAGCAGGAGATAATGCAAAGACATAAAAACCAGATGAGAGCTTGTATATGGAAAGCCTCAATTGTTTCTCAGAGCATTCATTTTTGGAGCTTCTCTTTTGGACATGTCTTTACAGCCAAGTTATAAATCATGTAGTGGCTCAGCTCATTCTTACTGAACAGAAATAATGGTGTTTTCTCTTGCCAGTATGCCTTAATTTTCAGATTTAACTTTGGAGATCTACTGGTAAACCGCAAAGCTTTTTTTTTTTTTAAGGAAACAGCTTTTTATTTTTATTTTATTTTATTATTTTGTGTGTGTGTGTGTTGTGCGTACCGTCAAATCAGATCTGACTGGTACAGGAGGAGATTGTTCCTCCTTCTCCGGCAGAGCATCTGGTGGATTTGAACCGTGCACCTCTGGGATTACAGTGCAAAGCTTTATATTGAGGATAAACGTTGATGGTCATGACTATGTTTCTGAAAACCTATAGGCTAACTCTAATTATATGGTACAACAACAACAAATATACTGTTATGTCTTATTATGAGAGGAAGATTTTCAGTCAGATGGATTGACACAGTTACTGCAGCAAACAACTTGAATATATCAGAAATTATAAGGATGGCATAGAATAGGACAGAGTTCAGATCTGTTGTTCACAGGGCTGCTATAACTCATATTCGACCCAACGACATCCAAAAACAACAATAACAACAATAATATACACTTTCGATTTCACCTGATTTTTCTGACATAGTAAATACTGTGTTTAAGGATAGATTCTCTGCTCTAATTTTCTCCTCCTACAATACTTACAACTCCATCTTCCGTAAGTGGCTCTTTTTTGCTTTTGTTTTACTTTCTCTGTTGTATGGTGGTGTAGTCTGTAGGGAGTTGCAATGCTAACCCCCAAATGGCATCTCTCTGGTGACTCTGATTCACCAAGGGACCATGGGAGAAAAATGGGCAATCTTCTTGTATGTGGTTTAGAGGTAAGGAGTTTTACTGCCAGCCCAAAGGCATGAGGTTTGAATCTACCAGCTGGTCCTTGGGAGAGAGATGGGCTATTTCCTTCTTTATAATTTATGTCCACTGAAAACCCACTGGAGGATCAGCCACGAATCAGTTCCAATGGAATGATACATAACAACATAACCAGGAAAAGCCTACTTGAAGCTCAGTTAAAAGCTGAATTAACTTGAGGATATTAAGTTTTATTTTTTGTTATTTTTAATTGTACCTAGGCTACTTACAGTAAGACATAGCAAGTCATTTTCTAGAAGAAGATAGGATACAGAATAAGAAGAACTCTTACCCGGAAGTAAGAAGCCATGGTTTGCCTCTTCATGTTGGTAGTTTCTTCTGGATGCCTTATCACCTCCAGAGTGTCCACCTGGAAAGGTAGACAGAAATAAGTCATTTGAGGATACAGGAATCTGAAAGGCAATAGCTGTGAAGCCATTGAGTGTAGAACATGATAATTTTTTACATTATCATTATTAAAAGACTTTGTGACAAGTCTTTTTTTCTTCCCCCCCAAGACCTATCTTTTTATTCTTTTGGCAGTCCATGGGATATTCAATACTCTTCTCTAGCATCACAATTCTAAGGCATCAATTCTTCTTTTGTCATCTTCATTCACTGTCCAGCTCTTACTGATGTGGAGCAAGTGATTGAGAAGACTGTGGACTGAATCAGACACACCTTAATCTTGAAACTGACATCATTGCTCTTTAGCATGCTGGATAGGTCCCTAAAAGCAGACTTGCCCAATGCAGTCAAAGTCATCTGATTTTCTGACTTCTGGCACAAAGGGTGTTGATTGTTGATTAAAGCAGGAAGAAATAATTGATTACTTCAATACTTTTTTCATCCGTCATAATATTTACTATTGATTCTGTGGTGAGGACCTTTGTTTTCTTGATGTCGACATGTAATCCATACAAGGCTACAAGGCATATACAAAGCTTGTATGTATTACAAGGCTATAGTCTGCGATCAGAATTCTGATGGCCTAGTGGTGAGAAGCTGCTCTATAATCCTAACGATTTGAATCATTGCTCTTCAGCGCTCTGGGGAAGTCCCTGACAGTAGACTTTCCTAATGCAATTCATCTTTTGATTTCCTGACAGCTGGTGCAAACAGTGTTGATTATGGATCAGAGTCTCAGTCTCTTCTCTGTCTGTTATGGTGCTTAGGCACACCTTAGTTTTTATTTCATTTAAAGCTTTTTATTTGACTGAAGGTTTACTTATATTGGGTTGTTGTTGTGTTTTTTATTTTACTCAATGTTTACATAGACTTTGGATTTCAATTCATTCATTGTTGCACATTTTCCTCCCTACCCACCCTTCCCCCAGTTTGCTTTTCTCTTTGAAAAGTTAAAAAATAAAAACAACAAACAAAAAACCTCTCATTGTTATACAATCTCCCCACCCTCCCATCCCCAGACTACTCCATCATGCAGCTTTCATTCTGTACTCTTGTCGGTGACAAGTCTTTTTAAAGATACATGGTGGAAGAGAAAGATTTGCTCTGTTGAGCTGGTTTAACATGATTTCACTCTGTGAAGTGCTGTGTGGTCTCAGTGAAAACCCCATAACTGTTATTTCCACACTTCTCCCAGTTCAAATGAGCTTTATATTCAGCTCTCCAATAAGGCTACGTGAAACAAAACTGTTACTTTAAAGAAAACCAGGCAAAGAGCCATGAGGCTGGGTGATCACAAAGACATGGGCCAAAAGCCCAGGTTGTACCACAGAGAATTAGGCAAGTGTCAGTTGCCTTCCATATACTCAGCTCTGATGCAGCACATCTCCTGCTGCCCCCAGGTCCCATGAGCTCTCTGCAGACAGAAGTTTGCATACCAAATCGCTAGGGAACCCCATGGATACATATGTTCCAACTCATCTGTCGGTGACTACCTGCCTGCACTAGACAGGATTTATGAATGAAAACAATTGCAGGTATCAATTGCAGACAGCCTTCATTTTGTTATTGTAGTTCAATGACAAAAGCCCTGTTCCTACACACAAGAGATATTTGATTTTCAAAGTGCATGAATGCCATTTCAGTGCCATATCTACATTTCAGACGTGGTAGCTTCCCATCTGCTCCGAACAGGTGGCAAGGGTATGAAGCAGGAACGTTTGAACTGGAAGATGCCGCTGTCAGCACGGGTGTTCTGCTTGGTGAACTGCTGTCCAGGCAGCCCCCTCCCAGTGGGATGAGCGTGCCTAGAGCCTTGCTGGAGGTGGGAAAATAGATGCAGGGAGAGGGAGCTCCTGGAGGAATAAGGAGGCTTTCCCAAAGGGCCATTTAAGGTACTGTGTGCAAAATGGAAAGGAAATATTTCTATTTGAGTTTGATAAAGAAAATAGGCTCCTTTAAGAAAGGGACCAAATGTGGAGCTAAGTTTTCACAAGCTAGAAACAAAACCGAGAGAAGGAGCAGGAATATTACCTGAGTGAAGATATTGAAGATACACAGGGGGCAACTTTTAAAAAAATGGTTACAGCACTGGATGCAGCTTTAAAACCACCAGTCAATTTATATGCAGCTGAAAGCTTGTAGATTTGACTTTTATTTTTACTGAGAAAAAATAATTAAATGGAATCTTGTATGTTTAGAAAGAAGACTATTTAAATATGGAACAGTGGAAAACAAACACAAATATCTCCTCATCTGCTGATAAGAGGTGACTCTCACCACACTCCTCTGGTGGATCCACGCTGAAAGTTTCCTTTCTCACCCAGAGTGGATCAAGTCCTCTAAAAAAGATATTTCGCAGTGGTCCTTTACAATATTTGTTCATTTGTGAATGAGGTATTTCACTCAGCATAATGTCTTCCCGAATTATCTATGTTGTACAGTATTTTCCAAGTTCATTGTTCTAAAGTACTGTGTAATATTCAATTTTGTGACTCTTCTACAGTTTTTTCTTGTTTGGTTATGGCCATGAGGACTGCTTCCATCTCTTCATTACAGTCAATAATGCTACAATAAAGAGATGTGTGTACATACGTTCACTTCATAGCTCTGGTTTGATTAGGATATATTCCCTGTAGTACGATAACTGGAACAAATGAGATTTCTATTTCCAACTTTTTGAAAAAGTGTCAGATTGCCTTCCATAGAAACATTTTACATTCCCACCAAAAATGAATGTGAGTTCCAGTCTCTCCACACGCATGACAGCATTTGTTCTTTGCTGTCCTGTTGAACTTTGTTATTGTTGCTGGGGTGAGACGATATCTCATTGTTTTGACTTACATCTCTCTGATAGCTAGGGATTTTGAACATCCCACTGCGATAAAAATAGGACAGACATAGGTGAAGAAGAGCAGAAAGAATGAATAAATAAGGAATACTACAGAGATGCTGTACATAGGGTCGCTATACATAACAGGCAACTAAACAACACATAACAACAATAACATACTATAACAGGTTTGGAAGCAGGAGTGGCATCCACTTCCTAAACAACATGCCTCTAGAAACACTATGAAATTTGGTCGGGTTTGTGTCTTCTGGGTTGCAGCGCCCCCATGATACATCTTCAAGGATATGAACATGTACGGCCAAGCCCAATCAATAAGAGTGCATCTAAATTCCAAAATCAATCTCTATAATAGTCTATGTGTTTCCTACTGCCAGGGGGGCCCTTTAGAGTAGTGAGAGAAGATCTTCACCCTGAAACCCACAGCGTCCCTTTTCAG